CTTGCCATTCCTTTCTGAGCCCCGCCACGGTCTGTGCTCCGCCCCCAGCAGCAGCGCCCTTCGATTGCCAATGTGACGAGATATTCCACTTCCAGAGTGTATCCTATAACTTTTCATGGGATGCGTGATCAATCAAAGCATGATGCTTGCTGAAATGATAGAGGCTATCAGCATAACATGTGCAAACGACCTCCTAATTGGTTGCTAGCTCGTCCATTATCGGAGGTCAACGGGCAAAGAAAGGGTCCCATTTTGCGCCTTCTTGACGGATTTCTTTGCTTTTTTCGCCACTGGGGCATTATTCAGCATCTCCACTTCCACTATGAACCCAGTCCAAACTTATCGTAATCCCTCGCTTTAAACCCACATTGTGAAGAAGCGGTGAGAGTGACGTTGCGCGCAACATTCACAGCGCAAATTGCCGTTCGCAATTCTTCGGCTCACGTTCCGGAGACGATGGCTGCTTTCCATTCATCTATTTTTTCCTCTTTAATTCTTACCCACAAAAATCTCGAGTAACTCTTGTTCCTAATTTCACAAGAAAGGTGAATAAAAAAGTGGATCTACGCGGTTGGATAACCATTTTTTTTCCACAAGGACAACTCTCACCTGGTTGATTGAGGTGAGAGCTCTAGTGCTTTTCTGCCTTTTAATATTATGAGTCTCAAAATCAACCTCGGGGTTTTGAGACCGCATCGCTGTCCGAATTATTGTTTTACTTCGGTCGAAATTACCTTCATTTTACTCACCATTATTTTCAACTTAACCGTAAGATTCTATCGACACCAGTTTATATGAACAAGCACAAGAACGAGAATCCGAAAACTTTACTCTGACCTGCTTTTCCCGACCACGTTTCCTTTATTTCATTTTTTCCTTTCCCTTCTTTCTACTGTTTCTCCATCCTATATCTATCCTATTTCTCGTGCTTTCTAAGTCCCCAGGGAGCGTGGATCTACCTCCTTAAGTGTGACATGACCAACTTGACCAGCGTCCGAGCACGAGACGGAGCGAGCCTGCAACCGAACGTGACGACAACGCTTGGGCGAAAGAGCGCACAGGCAGAAAGAACCGCAGGCTTCGCTGTCAGGATATGCGTGATTGATTGTAAGTGCGTTCTAAGTCCAGCTCATCCCCGACTGCCGTGAACCTTGCGTTCGGTGAACCCATGAATTGGGTGGAAAAGCATGAATTTGAGTCGGGTTTAGAGGCAATGGCAGTTTTTTTTGCTTCTCAAAAAGAAAAGAAGTAGAAATATAGCGAGCGCGAAAAAATTGTGAAAACAACAAATGTTTAGTTCTGCAGGTTGCTCGACTATTCTTACTGCTGGAATCCCGCAAACGGAATTGGTATCATCTCATGGTGCAGCCAAGCGACGGAAAGCGCACCTATGGACGTGGAGTTCAACTAGGTGAGTAAGTACCACCACTCCCAGACCAGAGAACAGATCACTATGCCTTTCCTGATTGCCCACGGAATCGTTTTGAGGCACACATTTCATTCTGACTGCAGGGCGAAACATGACATGGTGACAAAATAACTGTGCCCAGTTTGAGTCATCAAAGTCAAAACGGGATATCAACTGCAGCAACATATGATCATAGGAAATAAAAAACAAAATAACATATGATCATAAAAAATAAATATACGTGCGAACAGTTGTTCTTTGTTCAAAACGCCCGCCCATGAACATGGCCAATTTCCTTCATCATACATGACATCCTCCACGAGCCGGGTGCAGCAAGTCCCGAAGAGGGGATGGGTATCCATCCCCTCTCCCGAAGGTTGGGGAGGTATCCCCAAGGTTGGCGATAGTTATCTCCACAATTCGTCTTAGTCTTGCCCACGTTTTTATTCAAATGTCAACAAATGAAAACCAACGAAGAGGAAGAAGTCGCGATTACTCAGGATCGGATCGTTGCCAACTACGCAGCTTTTCCACCCATTCAGACTGGTCTTGCTCTGCCAGTTTCTTCAAAAGTCCTAGTAATCAGTTCTGAGTTTTCTCGAATGAAGACCCAACCGTTCATGGGAAATGCGAAGGACCTCTTATTGGTCGTCTTATGGGCTTCGCGGTCTGCGCCGGCACGCTCGACAATTTTCAGCTTTACCTTATGCCGATACCTTCGAATCTGCAGCCGCCTTTCTCACTAAAGTAAATTGGAAATTCTTTGGGCAATATTTGCAATATAGCAATTCGTTTGGATTTCGTAACCGATCAAGGAAGGTTATTATGTGAATTTCACTTGTGAGCCCGATGACGGCTCGGTGATTCAACCTTATAATACAGAAGATCTTGAAGAAATTCAGCTGACAGCGCATGAGGCGAGAAATCTCGTAGCTTTTGAAGGAAGTGAAGCCGTTTAACAAATTAAGTCACAGAAACATTGAAGCTATACTATATGTAGACTATGGCGAGTTTGATGGTACAGATAAAAGCCCTGCTCACCGTTGAATAAGACGTTTCTTAAAGTGCGCCCCTCCAAAATATCCGACGCGCTATTTACTAGAAAGGTCACGTTTGGCAGTCTCTTCGACTATTTACCTATACAGAAAATGCCAAGCTAACGTCAAACACATTTTCCAGGCAATGATGGTTCCTTATATCACATTGGCTCGCTGGCTGGATCTGAAGGTATTGGCTATTCTCGAGGGCAGACACAGGTATGACATTGCTCTCGGGCACGTCCAATTACCCGAACAGGGGCTGCTCGGGAGAAAAGAGATAAGAACTTCAAATATTTTTCTGCAGCACCCTGTCTACTGCCTTAAGAAGTGAAATTTTCAAAAGTTGTCTTTTATGAGCGCTTTAGTGTCGGTTGATGATGTCTACGATTTCTCCCACACAATCGATCTCGTCATTTTTACCTCTGTTCTAGTGGGGGAACCTCTACTAGTAACATCCAAGTACGCGATAGCACTGAATGCTTGTTGAGATTAAGACGGGCATGGTTGACTACTGACGCAGGAGGAAAAATCATGAATAACGCCTGCTTAAAATGAGGCTAACTTCTATCAGAAAAAAATTGCAGAAGAATAAACAGATTTGGATTGAACTATAGCATGACTTGAACTATTTGTGGAGGTCACCACTACAATCAAATCCTCCATCAGGCAAAAACTTGTGACCCCGTTTCTGTGCACTCTTATGAAGTTGTTATAAAATTATGTATAATAATAATTATAATATATACACTGCGTTTCATAATTATAGGTCCACCCTAAATTTTTGCTACCCCAAAGTTGCTGTGCATTTTTTGGAAATGCTGCTATCACCGTTAGATTCCTCATCACGGAAAACCTTCATAGTGTTTTTCTGACAAATTCCCCCCTCAAGTAACCCAATTAACTTTTTTAGAACGAATTTTCACCGTTTCATGAATATCGGGCCACTCATAAAAAGTTTCCATTTCTCACGATCCGTGAAGGGAATCAGGGAAGCGGGGAAATATGTGGGCTCAGTCGACATCGAGTTTACCATACCTCGTGTTATTCGCCTCTCTTCCCAGTAACAAGCTCAAGCTAGAGCACTTACTGAAGTGGGATAGCTGAGGAGCAGAATTTCCTCCCATGTCGGCCGGCTCATACTGCATAAGCGACTATGTGCAAAATCCTGGTCAGTGCGGAGAGAAGAGTCGCTTAGGTAAATAAAGACTGCGTTTCCTTCAAAATTTAGGAGGAATTGGGTGTCTTCTCTCGAATTATACAAGGAGTCCGAACAAAGTCCGTACTGAAATGCGGCCTTCCGTGAGCAAAACCACCGTGTGGTGAGTAAGCCAGCAGAGCAATAACATCTTCAACGGATTGATGAAGAGCGTTCCAAGATTATTTGAGCGCTACAAGATCGCAAGTCTCCATTTCTCCGTGGAAAAGGGCTCAACTTAATGAGCGATGGTGTGGCTGTTAAGACCCTTCGCGATCTTGGACTCTACCTCCTTGTTTCGTTCTACAGGTGGTCTGAGATCGACGTGGAAAAGTTTATTCTAGGTGGATATGGCAGAAAAAAGGAGGGTACAGGATGATCGCGTGAAAATCGCAGATGGTTTCAATGTAACGTAATTTCGGCGGTGAATCCCTTATGGTTTGAGGCACCTTTGAACGACTGAGTAGCTAGAGCTCGCTTTTGTTTCCGTTCACAAAGATTCCACAGGGTATCGTGAAGTTCTTTCGAAGCGAGTCTTACCATTTTTTCAACAAGGATCCCCTCTATCCTTGATTTTCACACACGATAACGCGGCTGTCCATGCCGGTCCCTCCGCGCCAGATGGAATTGCAGGAAAAAATGTGGCAGTTATCTGGTGGCCACCATGTTATCTGAATTAGATTCCAATAGAGAATCATTGGGCCTTAATTGTTATAAGTTCCACAGCAAAGTAAAGCAAAATGGAACAGCCGAAAAGCTGAAAAGGTCGATCATCGGCGCCCAGACGAATTTCGATCCTACTGTAATAGCTAATTTGGCTACCAGCATTTCAAAACGTATTATTGTGTTCCTTATGATTATTGGGGGTCATCCCATTATTGAAAATTCGTGACGTTTTTTCGTTATAGTAAAATCTCTCGACAAGTGATGTGTAGTCATATTTGCGAAACGGTGAAAATACGTTCTAAGGAAGATATTTTAATAATTCTGAATCGAGATTTCTCCAGAAATCAAGTATCAAGGTTTTTCGTTATGGGGAAACTATTGGTAATAGCGGCATTTTCCAAAAATGCACAGCAACTTTGGAATAGCAAAAAATTAGGGTGGACCTATATTTATGAAACGCAGTGTACTAATCATAACGTGATCTTCACCCAGTCTTCAGGTCGCTATACTGACGAATACTCGTGGTCGCGAACAAGCACAACACACAGCATGGATGGAACGACTTTGCCGCCTGTTTGCCTCGCACACCCTGATATCGTAACTCACTTATGACGACGACGATGATTAATAGGCTCTTTCGTTTGATAATTTACCTAATAAGATGATCTCATACACGATTTCACTGCCGCAGTCGATACCAACATCATATCGGTACCATCATTCAAAGGCAGTGACCGCGATGGGTGGGTGACGCTGCTGGTAACGTCATAGGTGGAGTAGTCGTCTCAGCGCTCTGAGGATGTGGTCGAGATCGCCCCTTAGTGCCCTTCCACCAATGCTCTCTTACGACCTCATCGAAACTGCAACTTTCTTTAGCCCCGCACTGCCTTTATGCATGTGCGAATTTCAGCTGTATTATAGGCTTTGGGCACAAGTGCGCACTGGCAAGTGGTGCTGCTTACCTGCGGTTGGGGGATTAAGTTTCGGCGAGCGCGCTATCCGGATCAACCATGGCTCCCAAATTGGATTTAGACCTGGAGTCTGAGTGGGTAAAAGCACTGAACAGTTGGCCCTCGCAAGTCGCAAGTGTAGCCCAAATCGTCACTACGATCCTAAGTGGAAGTAGGAAGCGTGGCGCATCCCGGAATGGGATTGATCAACGCCAAGTGCTTTATCCTTTATCAGCTTTTATTGACTTCAAGCGGAGAGGCACTATGCCGAGTTCGTGGCACTAGCTTCCAATCAGAAGTGTTTGTTTGAAAAACGAAGATGAACGCAGACAATAAATACAAACATTAAAGAAAGAAACATCGGAGGCATTGTAACATGTAATAAAAAGATTACTAACCCAATTTCATCAGTGGGTACGGTAACTGGAAATAATCTTCGAAAAACGCCAGCAGTCTTGGGACGAGGTCTAAAGCCATGCTAGTGTCGTTCAATTTCCCTTCTTCGGCATAAATGCGAACCTGAAATAGTTGGGTTTCTTCCTTCATTACCGCATGATCAGTGGACGATGCGCAGGGTTGCTAACAGGTTTGATAAAGTTTAAAGAGTTCTCAAAATTGCTTAGAACGAATGCTGTGATTGTGGTGGCTACTGTGGCTGAGCCTTTGATCGCTCTAGCACCGTAAACCCGCTTAAAAGATGGTACCGCGTGCACCTACTGAACAATGCAAGGTATAATAATAAACTAACGTACTACCACTAAACGTACTAATTGTAAGTCTCTAGAACAGCGAAAAAAACAAGCCTTATGCAAGCGCATATTCGTTTGCACCATTTGTGTGTAGAGGTACCCGCTTTGGGGCAAGATAGAATGAAGTTGTTGACTCACCCGTACTCCCTTTTCCGTGTACGTCTCCTGGTAAGGCATCGTGCCGACAATCATGGAGAACAGATATGTCGACATTATTGGTGAACGGAGGAATTTCGTCGTCGTCCATCCACTAGTAAGGAAAATATTTGTATATGGATCACATCGTATCAGAAATGAAGTAATATTGATGCCCGTACTTAAGTTTAACCTGCCATTTTCCACTCCCCCCTGCAAAAAAGCGAAAAAGAACGCTGTCAGAAATAAACCAACCGCGACTGTAGACATCAACAGCTCTCGATCCTTCTTGATTTAGTAATTGGAACCCTGCCAGGGCTAAGTTTGTTCCGCAATTTCCGTTTCCGAAATTGCAAAATTTGCCCGTTTTTTTTTCTTTCAAACAATAGCATCCACGTGGTAGAATTTCCTCACTCGAAATTATATTGAAAGGCTGACTTTCGTAGCAACAACCATTATCTCATTGTGTACTTACTAAAGGCACACTCCGTGAATAAAGTAAGTACGGGTTATTGAGCTTAACGTGAATGCAGTTGGTGCAACTGGTCTACCATTGATGAAGCGAGGGTACCCCCCAGTAGGCCCGTCGCGCGGCAAGAAGGCAAAGTGAGCGGACGAGTCGCGCGCGTACTACTATAATATATTGCATTTCGCGTCAAGTTAAATAGAGTGTCCACTGCACGTCGTTCATCCCACCCCGCCCGCTGCAATCGCACATCAGGTGCTGCAACTCGTCCGCCGACTCCGCCTTCTTTCCGCGCGACGGATCTCCTGGGGGTACCCATGAAGCAAAGCAAAAATCTGCCAAGGATCCTCGGAATAACATAGCTCGTATGGGCGAAGCCTGTGCCTTTCTTCTACTGAGTCTCTGTTTATCGTTTCTTCGGTAGGGTAAATGTCTTGCAGAGATGAAGCCAACTATGAGACTCAAGGAGGGACGGACGTAATCCCGACTCAAAACTTTTAAACTTCTCAGCGCATAAACGTCAACATCACATCACTCACACTCATTCACAAGTACTTATCGCCAATAAAGCTGAATGTAAGCGGCCTTACAAGCAAAGCTGAAACTCACTTGCTGGTGGTGATGTTCGTCTCTTTCATATTGAACAGCGCGTAGGTGCCTTCAGGATGGATCACAGTAGCGTCAAAACGTGCTTTCGCCTCAGGGCTGTCAATACACGGGAAACAGACTGCGAGCCTCCTGAGGTTGTAGATGTGTGGCTGTTTTGTATCTACAATACCAACAATTAAAAATGATCACAAAATGCATCTACAACCAATGACTTGCTAACTTGAGACCAAGATCTTCTAGCGAGGGTTGTTTCGATTGCCTGCATGCTTTGAAACCTAAGGATTTAGGTACCTGCTCTCTGATCCATGACGATAAGGTGCTACGAATACGCCAGCGAAGCGTGGATTATTGATATTGGTTTTGAATTTAATAACCAAACGGTAGTGATGTCCTGGCTGCAGATCCATGGATGTGAAAATATCCAACAATTGAGGATAGTCTTCAGAAATCTAGAATACGTTAGTTCTATAGTAAATATTTACCTATGAGATCAATCTGGAGAAAGTATCAGATCGGCATACATATAAGTTCTGACTTCGACTACTTTTCAGTTTTACTATTTTTTTTTATTTTTCATATTTCGTGTTCAAAGCTGTATACACCACCACTATATTTCAACAACATTTCACCGATGCGAGGTAAGCGTTGAATGCCCCTTTTGTAGAATTTATTTGAGTCCTAACCAAAGAAAATTTTGGATCATGATGACAAGTGTAAAATTTCTACTCCAGACAATAGAACTAGGGAAGGGAGAATGTGATCGTACGGTAGCCTTGCTTTACGGCGGAGCTGTAGCTCGAACCGAGACGAACTGTCAGCGCTAGAAATCCCACGAGTTTTCCTCTGCAGGTGGAGTTGAACGACCCCAGAAAAAGCAGATTTTGTTTTGCTCTGCTTACATTCTGATGCGTCATCTAGCTAGTGCGTTTGTCGTCATCTTGCCCTGGTATTAATGGGTATCGCTTCCTGGTGTCAAACCCCTCTCGCGTTCCTCCAACAGTTCATTCGTATTCGTATACTGTATTCGTTGGATAACCGTAAGTAGTTTATAGCTCGTTTATAGGTTTATACTTACTTACTTAGATACTTAGACGACCCGTCCATCTGCTGGGCGATTGGCCTTGCGCGGGTCCCAGCTTCTCTTCCATCGTTCTCGGTCTTGAGCTATAGTTGTCACGGGATCAAATACGTTGTTGCGATAAGCTAGAGAGTCTGCCCAACGTACTGGAGGACGGCCGGGTGGCCGTTTCTTTTCGCGCGGGCACCATCGCACAGTTGCAGCACTCCATCTGCCATCATTTCTCCTCATCAAATGACCAGCGAATCTGTGTTTTGCCTCATCGACGTGAAGGAGGGCGTCTTTCACTTTCGATATGGCCCTGATGTCCGAATTGTGAAGTTCTAGTTCTCGTTGTCGTCTCAAAGTGAAACCCACTAAACGGCGTTCGATCGATGCCTGGGCGGACTTCAATTGTTTTTCTAAGGACTTAGTTAGAGTCCAAGTCTCTTCCGTATGTAAGAGCAGGTAGAACCGTTGAGTTGAATAGATCCGCACGCAGTTTGCTATCTTTAGTGTCCTCGGTTACACTTCTTATAGATTTGAAGGCAGCCCAGCCTGCTTTGCGACGTCTGGTTTAGCTCTCCAGTCAGATCGTTCCTCATGCTCAATTGACTCCCGAGTATATATACTCTTCGACGGAGCTCCCATTCGAGAGGAAGGGTTACTGTTCGTGAACGAATTCCGCATCACTTTTGTTGTTCTTAAGGTGTTGATGACCAGGCCATAACCACCTCCTTCTTCGTCTAGATGATGTAGCATCTCTGAGGAGTGTTCCGAAGATTCTGTGATCAGCATGTCTCAGCTACGTCATCAGCAAAGCGCAGATGATTGCAAGGGAGGCATGCAGTGAAAGTTTGAAGATATTGGGATCACCTTGTCTTACCCCTTTTTTCACTGCAATCTACGACGTCTTTGTGGAACGGATGAAATATTGTTGTGCAGTCTGTGCAGCACTCCTGTAACATTTTCACGTATATGTGTTCTATGATTTGATCTTGTAGCGCGTTCCAAACATCGCTGGCTCCACTGAATCGAACGCTTTTCGTAATTGGAGTTTACGAGGCGTAAGTTGAATTCGCGCTGTCAGGGACTTCGCGACAGGTTACATATGTCGATGTTTGTGATAGTTCCGAAGCCTGCGTGTTCTACTGTGGAGCTTTTCAATGTCTTCGGATAGCGCGCTAGTATGCACGAAGTTTGAATATTGTATAAGAATACTGAAAGAAGCGCAACAATGCATTTGCGTTAGATTTTTTTGTTCTTTTTTGTTTCTTTTTTTTTTTTTTTTTTGGTTTCTTTTGTGCTTTCTGAATGGCAACACGGATCGATTGAACTGCGTTTAAATGCTTTTCAGTCTTTGATTCTTTGGCAAGCCGTTGATTAAAAGACGGCCTGAGCCTTGAGAGAAGCTCATGTGATGCCGTTTTTCGTGGGCCTTTCTCGTGGGTATTGTTGTGCATCGCTGTGCCGTACTTGATGGAAGAACGGGAAATTTATCCGTGGTTCAGCTTCTCTTTCTTTGTGATGGTTGAGTTTGAGAGAGTGGAATAAAATGCGGATTTTTGTTTCATTTCTAGCATAGATGTACAGCGCGAACCATCTTCAGTCTTCAGGCACGGGATTATCAAACGATGCTCTGCGATTTTTCTTCTGGCTGTTTTCAAGCTCCTTCTACCTTCTGCCTCATTTAGAAGTCTGGATCTCGCAAAGTTGATGTGATCTCAGTTGTCTGCGTGTATCTGATAATCTGGCTTAGTGGGTGATCTCTTAAACGTGATTTTCTTTCCGATCCTATTGGCCTTCTTGTCTCGAGTCAAGGCATGATAGAGTCCGAATGCGACGGGCGTTGTGCATTCGGGCTTAGTACGAGGCATTTTGCAAGTTTCCTTGACGTCGTTTCTTAAAGAGTGGTTCGTAGTCGTCGTCAATGATTCTCTTCAGTGGAGTTTCAGAAGTGGACTCTCATTGCGTGAGCATTCTAAGCTGCTCTGGATGAGACGGTTATTAGGGCTTGTGTAGTCTATTGAAAGTATTTGAAGTAGGCGAAAAGAAAGACACGATCGAAAGTGTGAGCGCTCCGGCGTATAGTCGATGATCGTCTGTATTGCTACACTGCTACATCTGCCATGGGCTCTCGATTGCACAGGATGTGATCGAGTTCGTGATAATATTCTCCATTTGGAGATACATGTGTCCACCTTTTGTGTGGAGGTTTGAGAAATTGGCTATTTGCCGTGGAAGAGATGGTGAAGTTCACAGAAATCCGCTAATCTCTGTCCAGCTTCGTTGCGACTCTCTGCAGAGTGCGGGCCAATAAAAACCTCGTCTAGCGTTCGTGGTCCGATCCTGGCGTTGAAATCGCCCATTACTATGACGTAGCTACTTTTATGACCACTCACAAGTTCAGCTAATTGTTCGTAAAAGTCATCGTGTTGTTCTTCATCGCTATCTGCTGTCGGTGCGTAGACTTGCAAGAACAGTAACTCTTATGTCCTTCGAAATACTTGCATTTAGAATGCCAAAGCGGTGCCCGTAAAAAGTTACGCTCTGAATGTGTTTTGAGAAGCCTGGTGATACGATGAATCCAATGCCTCCTGAGGTTGAGTTGATTTCACGACCTCCTAGAAAAACTTGTTCCATCGTTCCATTTGCATGACAGCGGTTCTTTTCGTTTTGTTTCGCTCAAACCGATGACATGATATTTGATCCGTCGTGCTTCGTCGACTAGTGCCGAAAGCTGAGCAGCCGAATTAATGCCTCGACAATTGTATGTGCAAGCGATTAACTGGCTAACTCTTGTCCGTTTCCTTTGGCAGCCTATGGCCCTGAGATTTCTTCGCCTTTGGCTGTTTGCTGATCCAGCGCTACCTGACTGGGACAGCCTGCAGGGGACTAAGGCGATTTAAGAAGTGGTCGTAGTATTTTCGTCCCACAGGATAGCCTTACAGGGCGTTCCTGTTGCTCAAGGAGAGCGCCGTCCCACCAATGAGCTTGGGCACTTCGGGTTCTTTAGTCACGAGAATCGGTATGGGGTTTCGGCGCAACCCTATTCTGGCGAATATTCCGACCTCGCCTCAAGCTCGTACACCCACACAAGGTAGAACCCGTGTAC